GAAGTGCTTCAAGAGGAGTACATCCTGTAAAGAATCCATTAACAATTGTAGAATTTGGCATCGGATTCATTTTGCGTACAAGACCAGCTTCGATTAATTCGTAGATCACTTGACTGAGAGTAGCATCAGTTACTATTTTCTCTCTATCGCATTGTTTAGGATTTGTATTAGGAGCATCAGAGTAAAATACTTGAGCTGCAGCTGTTCTAATAGATTCATCTGACCCTATTATTGTAATTATTAAATTTGTATTGAGAGCTGAAACTAAATAATTTGTTTGAATTGTGTGTCTTAAATAATCTAAATATGTTATCATTTGAGACGATGCACTGTTCTTTAGTAAACCAATTGTTCCATCTATTTGCATTTGAGTTTGTTCTTCAGAAAGAAGATAAAGAGTAACAAGTTCATTATTGTCAATATCACTCTCAGTTTGAGAAATAATTTCTTTTGAAAATGAACAAAAACTTGATAAAAGTTTAAACTAAAAGAAGAAAAGAACAGAAAATGTTGTTTCATTTGAAATTTAAATTAAATGATGATTAACTAATAAATAATTCGTTTCGATTTTTGAATTTCTTTCATTCTGAGTAATCTTTAAAATAATAAAATTTTGAATGCTAGTACGATTGTACAGATCATTTCAAGTATGGTATTGCCTGGTATTAAATTATTTATATAAAAATCAAAGGCATATGAATTAGTAGAATATGGTGTATAGATCTCAATTCTATACAATGTAGACAAACTATTATTTTCTTTGAACTATATGAGTTATGCGAGATTATATTCTAAGTATTTCGCTCTGATATCTCTCATTTCTCACATAGTCACTTTTTTTTGTGTGTTATACAATATTTCAAATCTTCTGTAAAGTTTAATTATAAAGGCTTGAAAGAAATTGTGGAGGAAGGTGGAAATATGCATGCTGAATGATGATAGATCAATATAATATTCATACCCACACATACGTTGGAGAATTTGATTTTGTGACAAAATCAATATCTGTAGACATGCATAGTGTTGCGGTATAATTGATATAAGGCTTATATCACTTATACCCCAACATAGCAATATTACAATGATCTGTTGTTAGATATCTGTTCATCGCACTTGAAAACCAACTGCTACCGCGCCACGCTCTTAAATAAAAAAGCTAACGGAACGCTGCCGCGATGGTGGATAAAATAAGCATACTACTGTGGCAGCCCCATCGCGATGACTTTTGAAAAATCAACCTCTACTACGTCATCATCAACATCCCTACCTGTTATATTCATCTTAAATTTAACAGAAAATAACGCTTTTATACAATTTTACCTCAAATTCTCTATTAATTCTATCTACATCAAACTTTATCTTGAGGAGCATTCTGCTGTTCGTCAATATATCAAACCATATCTTTTCATTCAATTAGTTGATGACAGGGAGGCACACATGTTAAAATATAAATTCTAACTTACTTGTGAATGTGCTGTTGTTCGAAAATCCCATACTCCATACTGACTTGCATTTGAAAAATATAATCCTTTGATCCATTCTGGTTCAATAAAAATACTCGAACAAACCGAATGCATTGTAACATTGTTCGAAGCAAAATTTCGATAAGGTATTGCTATTGTTGAACATGGACATGAAAGATTTTCATCATGCTCAGAATAAAGCTTCTCAAAAGTATCAGGCGTTATATTCGAGACAGTAATTATGGTAGATTTGGTTTTTATCAAAGTAACATAGAACAACATATAGAGACACACTAAAACAAAAAAAATTGTATGATGACTATTTTCTTTAAATAAGTAGCTAAATAACTTAGATTAAAATCTTGTTAGATAGATAAACGACTTTATTTTTACAACTAAATGTGTTTCATGATATCTCAACAAATTTAGGTTTTGTTTGGATTTGAGGGTGTCTGTTTGTGAGTGTGGGTATAACGTGAGCATAATATTCACACCCATACTCTACTCTCATCATCACATACAAATAATTCTTTAGACAGCAATGATACGGCCGTTTTGATTCAAACCAATTTTATTCACTCACAGAAAGCATATAAACGGCATATATCTCAATGTGGGTACCATGAAATATGATTCCACAAGGTCGAGAGATCATACATCTCTACATACAACACTATATTGAGATATTCGATGCAACATTTTTTCATTTTCGAAGCCACAGATAGAGATGCGGAATATGCGACATCTCTATAGGAAGATGCAGGGTCCTCCGCAGAATATGCATTTTCTGCACTGTTCCGAACTCAAACCCACGTACATGTTTTTTCAACTCGGAGACGGGACGGATTCTTAGCATCCTACCAATTTACTTTCGATATCTCTTAGTTATAGCTGGTACATCTAACTATACATAAAGAAGAAGGCTTCTTAGTTTGTACACAATGCATTCGGTACCAGTAATAGCTGGCGTCATCCAACCTTTCATGGCACTTGTCTAAGTCTAGAGGAATGCCAATAGAAGTTTGGCATCACTGAAGGAGAAGGAACGGAGTGGTACTGGGAGATATTTCACCCAGATCGCTCTGTAATAGCTAACGTCACCATACTTTCCATGATACTTTCATAGCTCCAATGGAAGGCTGAGAGGGGGTTGGTGCCATTGATGGAGCCTCAGTATAAAGTATTTGGGTGGAATTTCACCCACACAGTTCTGCTATGACTAACGCCGCTAAACGTTTGATGGTACCTCTACAGGTCCAACAGAAGGTTGAGAGAGGGTTGGCGCCACCTCACGTGGACTAGGTGAAACCTCACCCAAGCCACAATGTACAACGATTTTTACTGATATTTGAGGAAATTTTGAGAGTTCTGACCGATTTGTACAGTCTCCATCTACTACTATCTATTTACGGTTGGTGTGCATGTGGCACAAAGGAGCGGAGATGAATAAAAAGCACGGCACGCACACTCTCAAAATAGCATCCGAATGGGATTTCTAAAACAGAGATGGAGTTGAAGTGGACCTGTATTAAATTACACTTAAATTAGGGTTGCAGCGGGATTCCTACACTAGAGGTATATCTGGAGTGGAGTGAGCATGTGCTCTCTGAATGGGTTTGCCGTGAGATTTCCAAAATACAGGTGTAGTTGTAGTAGCACTGGAATGTTTATAGTACGAGTGGATCTCGAGAGAAGTTGGAGTGATACATAGCCGCAGTGGCGTCACTCAAATATACACGGTTGGGGCATATGGCGGTGATAGACGCAAAGCTTCCAGACATACCCCTCTCTATATCCTCTGTCGTTTTCTAAGCTGGCAGGTATTCAATATGAACGTTTCTGAACCACCATCGGATACCTTCGCTAGTATTTTATATTAGCTCTATAACATCTACAGCATCCCCAATATACGAGATATATCACACCTTGCATGATTTACCTGCAAGAAGAACAACATATAATCGGGTTTTATATTTTTGCCGTTTAAGAACAATAGCTGGATCTTGAACAGCATCATTATCATCATCATCATATTCATGTTCTTCTAACATAAAAAGATTGTAATTAGATCCTTTTTTATAAAGCCACGCAGTTAAAGTTTTGAACTTCATCATTTAATGAATGAATGAATCTGTTCAAAAACTTCTTGTGTTGGTGTTGAAACTTGAAAATCAGTTGAAGTGCTTTGCTCTGAAAGTAAAACAATTATTTTAAAAAGAACACAAAGACTAATCTGTAAGAAGAAATATTATTTGTTTGAATGATATAAAAAAAAGTATTTATGCTATAACTGTATCTTACATTCTAAATGTAGTTAATTGTCGATTTGACTAGAAGAAAAACGTTTTTGGAAAATAAGAGAAAAAAAAGAAAACCTATTTTTATTTCAATGCGTCGAGAATATTATATCTGTTTTTTAATAGAAATTCTAGTTGATTAATAAATGATAAAAAACATATCCTTTCAATATTTTTCTCTTTTATCATGATTAACAAACTTGTCTGGAAAGAAAAAACGACGCAATAAAATATTAGATAACATAATGCCGTTTTCCTGATAAAATGTTTGTGACATCTAAATAACATTTGTCCATTTATTTCAAATGATATTCGCATGATTAATCATCGTAAAGTAAAGAACACAATTTATTTTAAAACTTAAAAACGAACAAACTAAGAAACAAAATTCAATTAAATCCTTCCCATGGATGTGTCTGTAAGGAATATGACATCATTGTCCATAGTTGATCAGAATTAAATATCATGAGAAAAAATGTACTTTGCATAAATTAAAATATCTTTGTATTATTTTTCTATATATCAATCTTCGAAATAATTTAATTTAACAAGCAAATATTGAAATTATTTTATTGATGAAGAAAATCTTTTTTTTTAAATTTATTTATTAATTCAAACAATTATTAAATGTGAAAATAGAAATACAAGTCAATATTCATTTTATTCTCTATTTTGATAAGAAAGTTTATTCTTTTTTTTTTGCGTTTGATTATTTTGAAAAATGGCGCATTTCCTATAAAGAAAAATATAACCATCTGACAACATTCGATCAAATAGAGTTAATAAAATTGTCGTTCTTTTTTTTATGAAATAGAAAAATAACATTCAATATTGATTCCATTTCTATTTGGAAATCGAATTTCTATTAGAATTATTAAATTAATTTTTCTAGTAAAAGATGAAACAACTAAATTATTCGATAATTTGATTTTAATATATAATAAAATATTGTTCATGAAAATCTTGATGGTGTTGGTGTAAGTTTAGTTATGAGTGTCGATTGGTGGCTATGGATATTTTACCCATCTATCATTCTCACTCGTTTACATCCACATCGATCTTTCTTATAATACATAAAAATTTTGAATTCTTTTGTGATTCATTTCCGACATGAACTCTCAACAAGGGAGAAACGGTAGACTTCATGGTCTCTTGGAGTTTGCCATATTCTCTCTTTTAACACCTATGTTGTAATTAGTATTTCATTTTAAAGTTTACTACTTTTAACAATTGAAAATCTCATCTATTTTTAAATAACTGATGACATTCGATTTCAGTTCCGCCACATATATTGAAACTTTCATTGAAGCCAACTAAAGTTGTGAGATAATTTTGATGAGAAGTTTCTTGGTTGTATAAACACGTTGAACTGCTAGTTAATATTACAATGATAAGCAGAACGAAATTAATTACATGAATAGTAAAAAGTAACTTGTTTTCTTTTACTAGTACAGAGAGAAGATGAGGTATACAATTGATTGAAAAAAAAAATTTTCTGATCATTATTTTTTTCTTTGTTATTAAAATGCATATTGTAGCTACCATTTATTTTGACACAGAAACAAAAGGATATCATCAGCTAGAAAAGAATCAATCATTCTGTTATATAAAAATTATATATGTATTAAGAAAAGAAGTGCTTGTCTCTTTTCCTCATTCTCTTTCTCTATGTACATGTATATATGCAGTATATTTATAAAGAAACAACTCACAATGATAAGAGAATAACAAGACATGCTATAGAAAAAACATAGAAGAAGGTAGAATACCAAAGAAGAAGAGAGAGAAACAATGTTAAAAAAGGCAAGAAAGGGCGAAGTATGTTGAAATCTTATATTCATAATAGCTGCGATACATAACAATTCATATTTTATTGTTATCAATTTTTTAATGTATATACCAGCCAGAATGAAGGAAGGAAAAAGTGGGTGTTGATGCGGGTGTGAAGTGAGTGTGGGTGGATGTCGGTGTGGGTGTGAATGGGGTATGGATGTTAAAGTCTAATGTATCCGTCATTCATACACATCCACAACCATGTCACACCGACACCCAAACTCACACCCATTTCCACCCAATCCACTAACTCCTATCCTATCTGACTCACCCTTACCGTATCTCACCCACTATTACTCTATTCCACCGACTCTTACTCTAATTCACTAACCCTAACCCTACTTCACCCACTTCCACTGATTCCACCCACTTTCAAGTTATAAGGATGCTAACTAATGTTTTTTAACCTTTGATCTTTGTCTGGATAACAGACAGACACACACTCAACATTAGTATATAGATACAAACAAAAATTAGAAAAGATATTCCAATCTCACCAGATTTAAGATTGAACTTATTCTTTTCCTCTCTTATTAGCACGATGTTTACAGATACAGCATTCTTGTTTTCAGTTATTTGATTAAACAACAATTTAAGGCATGATGGAGAGGAAGAGATAAAAACCATTTGCCGAAAGACTTGTATTTCTCGTTCAGCACTTATGTTCACAAGAAAGTGTACCTCGGCATTGACGTATTGCAGTGATTGTACACATGAAGATCAAAACAAAATGGAAAGAAAAAGAATAACATAAAATAAGTTGGTTGCTTCGTTTTTGTTGATTTCTCTTTATCTTCTTCTTAAAAACAGTATTTTCAACTGGAATTAGGCCTACCTCACACCCTCATTTTGACAATAAAATAAGAAAAGTAAGTACTATAGCTGATGCAAATAAATTTCTTGCATATTACTTAGCTTAATCTTATCATTAAAATATTCTGCTCAAATTTTATTCCAATCTAAAGTTAGAAACAGTAAACTTTTCACATAAAACTTTCATTACAAGACCTTATTATCTCTCACATGTGAGAAAAGACTTCTCAGGAAGCTATTACAACTTATATTTGTGATTAATAGTTCATAAACTGAAATGAATTTATTATTTATTCAAAATGAAATGATTTTATCTTTTATTTAGATGAAGTATATGATTTCATAATTGATTCATTTTCAAAATAAAACAGTTTTCATTTTACTCAGTACATGGTTCATATTTTTGAATTCGATGATTCTGAGAATCAACAACGAAAAGATCTCCTTCATTATCAAATGACACACCTTTGGGTAAAAGTAATTGATTTGGTTCATGTCCTTCACCATTTCCACCAGCAACAATTGAACCTTGTGCGTCTCCTTCACGCCATTGCATAATCCGATGACTAAAAGGAACTGCAATATAGATTAGACCCAAATTATCAACAATCACTGCAAAAGGTTGATATAATTGGTTGAGACCATTACCTCCTTCATTTCCGCCAGCAACCATAATTCCTTCTTCTGCATCTTTTTTCCATTTCATTATACGATGATTGTTAATATCCACTACATAAACAGAATATTCTTCATCGACGAAGATTTTCCCAGGATTATTGAATTGATTCTGAAGCTTTCCTCTGCCATTTCCACCTGCAACTAGTGTTCCATCTGTGTCTCCTTCTTTCCATCGTCTTACTACAGACTTTGAGGCATCAGAAACATAAATATACCCATTCTTGTCTATTGCGACACCGCCACATGAAATATCAGAAATGAGAGTTTGTGGATTTGTTTGACTTTGACGAAGCCATCGCATTACCCGTGTGTTCCCCATATCACATACGATTATTGCATTCTTCTCTTTGTCAACAGTTACGTCGATTGGCTGCTTGAATTGATCCAGTGTATTTCCTTGTCCATTTCCACCTGCAATGGTTTGTCCTTCCTTTGCATTATATTTCCATTCAACAATACGATGATTGCCAGTATCAGCAATCAAAATGCTTTTGTTATCATCGATATAAATCGCACAAGGAAGAGAGAATTGATTTAATTGATCTCCTTGTCCATTTCCTCCAGCAACAGTAATTCCATGTTGGTTCCATTTGTCACATTTTGGCTTGTTTTGTACTAACAGCGAAGAAAAAAAGATTTGATATTAAATTAAAAGCTAACAATATCAATCTAGTCAAAGATATCAGAACAAAAAAAAATAGAATTAATTTGTATAAAGAAATTTTATATGATATTTGCAAAGCCCGAGAAGAAAGCGATGTAAAGATTGTTGATTTCTCTTAAATCCAAGCTTTCGGTTTATTTTGAAAAGAAATATTGAGTCATATATGGACAAGATATTTAAATTTGAATGGAATTAAAAAAGAAAATGGATTTTAAAGATTTGTTGAATCTGTGAATGAATGATTCAATCGAAGATCTTTGCAATTTTTTGAAAATACAATCCAATAAAAAAACAATTTATCATTGGAGTTAGTCAAAAATAAAAGATGATTTAACTTTCATCTTGATATTAAAGAACAAAAGAAAACTAAATAAAAACATGTTTTTCTTTTTCTTTTGAACAAGCAAATCAGAGTTTGCCCTTTGCAATAATGATGTATATCGATAGATGACTATATGTCAAGAGTATGATAATAAAAGCTCACTCATACAAAGACACAAGATTGTTTTAAAGAAAACGCAGTATATCTTCTCTTATTGAAATAGTTTTTCAAAGTGTTTCCTTAATAAATCGAACTATGAATTTCATGAAAACTATCGATGTTGCTCTTTGTGAGATATGATTTAGAATTTGTCTTTATCGAAAATCAAACGATAGAACTGTAGTCTGTATGAATATTCTAATAAAATATGGAAAAATAAATTCAACAGTAACATATTGTGGAAAATATTTTAATAGTTTACCAGAAAAAATGAATATCGCCTTTTTTTATTTTATCAATATTATACCTTCTGTTGTTGGATTGTGCGTTGTTGTTGTGAATTGTTTGTGCGTTGTTATTTCTTTTGTCATAGTTGATGATTCTATGATGTTTGTTGTTTCTGTTATTACAGTTGATGATTCTATCATGTTTGTTTTTTTTGTTTTAATAATCACGGTTGGAATAGTTACGACCAAGATAACAATGATAATAACAATAATGATGCATAAGAATTTCTTTTTTACAGAACATCTGCTTCTACAATAAACAATTCTTTCGATTATAAATTTCAATTATTCACAAAACACATACAACAATGTTGATCGATCACTTGATGTTTGTTGAGAATTCGATGTAACTGATTCAGACTAAAATAATTCATTAAAATCAAAGTTATTTTATCTTATTTTTAACAAAATATATTACATCACCAACTCCTATTTGATTTCGACTCATAATGAATGTTTTGTGCACATATAAAATTGAATTAATGCCTTATCAAAATCAATAATCTAGAATATATAACAAAAACACATGATATCATAAGAAAATAAATCCTCAAAGATGAGGAGAAAATAATACTTTAGAACAAAAGATTAGCTGAAAATTATTAATATAAAAATATGTTTATAAGACTTTTCAGAATAGTTTTATATGGTTTTACCAAAACTGGAAAAGAAACATTTGAAAAAGCGTTGAAATTTATTTTCGTTTATGGAAGTTGAAAAATCTTTCTTTTCCATTATTCACATAGCATTACGTTATACTAAACCGTACCCAAATTCAGTTCACTAAGAATAAGAAGTTGTTTTGCAGTGCTATTATCAAGTAACTGAATACAAAATCGTTAAAGTGACAGAAAACACTTCAATATGGTGCTGTGAATTAATAATTATGAAAATAACAAACTTCTTTCTTCTATAGATAGAGGTGTAAGCCGTCAGTCGATTTTTGCTGAAGCCGACGGCTGGTAGCTAACATTTTTGCTAGAGCTGACGCGCGTCCAAGCCAACGGCTTACAACTTTAGTCTACAGAATAATATTAACTCAAAGTATTTTTATTGAAACATCTGCAACAAAACACAACATTAACAATGATCGGTAAATAAGAATAATAAATTTTGCTTCCTTTTTCAGAGTTGATTTATGAACAAAAGTCTACCAGATGGCAGTTATGGTCTGCTGTAAATACAACAAATATTCATGATATTAAAACTTTGGAGGAAGGCTATGAAAGAAAAACATTGAAAGTCGTCATTTAAAGAATAAAATGCAATGTTTTCTAACGGAGAAAACAAATTTTATTTGAACAACATATTTTGTTATTTTATATAAAATAGAAAGAATAAATACATCGATTAAAAAATCTATTTTGCATCTGATCCTAATATATTCGATAATTTCTGGATCGGTGGGTGTAAGTGTAATAGTAATCTGAGTTTTATTTCCAACTGATGCTCACGCAGTCATTGACACTCACATTTACCTTTTAGTTAGAAAAATAATTTAATTTAAATATATAAAACAGTATTTTATCGCGTTATTTAAATTAAATTTCAAATACTATAAAAACTACAGTAGATGCAAGTACCCAGGCAGACAAGATTTCTCAGACAGGGTGCGGGTGTGGGTGGGGTGTGGGTGTGGGTGGGGTGTGGATGGGGTGTGG